TTGTTGTTGTTGTTGTTGTTGTTGGTCAGATAATTTAAATGTTCCAAATGTGTCTGAAGTAAATCTTATTTTCTTGTTCTTTTTTTGTTTGCAGAAACAGTAATAGCGTTGTTTGATTTCAATGTCGGTTGCTTCGGGTGTTGTAACAGAAGGTCAAATTCGAGAACCAGTGGTCAAAAGCACTGATATGAATGAAGATATGCAACAAGATGCTATACTGATTGCTAATGATGCCCTTAATAAATTTAAAGTTGAAAAGGTTAGTAAATTTCCAACTTTTGCTGTTAACGTACAGTTTGTGAAAGCGGAACAATTATTTCAACATAGGCAATCGTTTTGATGTATCAAAGAATTTGTTGATGACATAAATTGCTAATTGATTTTAAGAATAAAGATGAAAAAAAAGCAAAAGAAGTAAAAAGAATAAACGATGAGCAAAAAATAACCTTTTGAAAAAAAGAATACTTTTAACACATCGAATGATTACAGCAATAGGAGAAAAGAAAAAAAACCAAATTCAAGTTCACTGTTGGTTGTACTAAGTAAATTAACAATTATAACGGAATTTGATTGTTAAAACAGTTTAATTGATGCGGGGTATTATTAAACTGCTGTGTCTTTGTTTAGTTTAATATTTTGAATTCATTTGTTGAGCACTAATTGAAACAAAATACAGGTTTCAGGTAACTGTAACAGTTTTGAAAGAAATATTTAATTAAAATCTTAAAGTTGACTAAATTGACCAAATCGAGTTGAGGCTTTGCTTGTTTTGTTACTACATTTATTTATGAAGTCAAAATAATGGTAAAAGATCAATGTTTTGGATACCACACTGTACTACTGAACAGTTAAGTGGATACTTTTGGGGAGTAATTCGTTCTTTTTTTTCCTGTTATTTTATATAAAAAAAAATTTTTTTTTTGAGATTTTATATCTCATAATCAAAACATAGTGTAGCTGTCAGTTGGTTTTTTTTTTGTCTTCTTTTCAATTAATTATGACAGATACATATGTTTTTTGTTAAATATTAATAACCAATTCATGAAGTGTTCAGAAGAAAAAAAAAAAAAGATTACACTATAACAGCTGTTTCAGCGGTAAGGTAACTGATCCCCCGTTCGTTTTCCACCACCGTTTCATCTGACCACATTTTCACATTTTTGAAAAATTTTATTCATTTAAACTGTTGTTAACAACTTTTCCTTTCCTCCCCCTTTTTCTTCTGTTAAAAAACTAAGGAAAAAAAAGATGGATTCAAAGTTTATTCACTTATTAATTACAGCAAGAAATATTTTCTTCGTTTTTTTTTTTTTTCTTTTTCTATTTTTTAAACTTCATTAAAGTAAACAATTAAGAGAATTATTTCAGTAATTAAGAGTAAAAAGTGTTATTTTTTTTTGATTTTTTTCTACACTGAAATGTGAATTAGTGAAAAAAAAACTGAAACAGTCTTTTTTCAACTTGTTTAACATTATTTGGACATACACCGTAACATCAATTACCCTTTTGAAACGATTGGCAAAAGAATAAACTAAGTTTCATTGATTAAATACTTTAAATCTTATTAAATGTGTTTTAATTGTTCATTTATTTGCTTTAAAAATAAACAGTTTATTGTTCTTACCACAAATATTTTGTCTTAAAATAAAAAAATTTGGCAAAAAACTGATACAACGAAAGGATTACACAGCTTTTTGTTGTCATCCTTTACCCTTTATTTTCATCAACAAATATTATAAGTAATTAGACTGCTGTTTGAAGTGCTCTTTCATGTCGGTCATTAGTTTTTAGCTGTCAAATATTATAGATCTATTTTTAAATCTGTTAACCACCACTGTCGACAATTACTCATTGAAAATACATTAATTTTTCAAGTTTTTATAAACAGTTAATGATGATACGAAACTGTATCAATGACGAAAAACAAGGAACTAATGATAGGTCAACTAATGTTTAGGAAATGTTAAATAAAAAAGTGTTTTTTTTTTTTCATTTACTTATCGTGCAAAAGTGTATTTTTGTTTCGAGAAATAGGGTTTTAGGCCTGTTTTCAGTTTTTTTTCTTCTAAAAAATTAGTTATTTTGGAAGAACAACTGCTATAGTCTAAATTATAAACGTACTATTCTATTGCAAACTTAATACCTATTGTCACCAGTAATTAAGTTCAGGTAACGGTAGAATAATTTTTTTTCATTTCGACATTACAAATAAGAAATTGGAGGAAGAATTAATAATAGAAGTGGAAAAGCTGACAAAACTTATCAGAACATAGAATTGAAATGCAGCGGTTGTTAAAAGTAATGACAAAATAATAAAAGGTAAACAGGTGAAAAAAAACAGGAATTTTGACAAATTTTTTTGAGATAATAAAATTTTTTTAAAATTCTGTTTTAAACTAAAAAAAGAAGTTGTAGAAATATTTTCATTTAGTTGAATCAACGTTTTTGTTGCACCAATTGTCGTTTCTAAACCGACATCCCTCAGCAACTGATTAATCGTTAGCTTAGCTTCTTATCTGAGCATAAATGATAAGCCATTTTTTTTTGGTGTGCTTCTATGTATCTGTAACTGTACGGCGTCGATTAAGAAGATTTACAGCTACTGTTATTCTGGTTTACATTTGCTTCTGCAATCGTCAAATGATGCAACATCTGCCTTAAAAGTTTCACTGATGTAGTGACTAATGTAATAATCTACAGTTCTGAAGTTCTAATAAATTTTCTAAAACTCATCGAACACTATGTTCTGCCAACAAAGTTAAAGAACAGTTTAGTTGGGGAACCTTCGATACTGTTCAATGCATTTTAAAACCATTCTGACTGTTATTGTTGAGAAACGTTTTGTTAAAACAATTCTTCATATTTCATTAATTTTTCCAAATGCCTTACAAATACAGTCGTTTTAAAAAGAATTGCTTTAACTTTTTGTTTAAAAACGTGTTGTTCACTGCCAGTTGACATTATTCTATTAATTGTACAGTGAAAAACCAAAAAGAAACTTCAATTTGCAAGAGGTAAGATAGTCTTTTCAAAAGTCTATAGCTTGAATTGCCAGTAGGGAAGATTGAGTGAGGAGATTTTGGTTGATACATCGAATTAATTGCCAGCAATAATAGGTAAATTAATTGTCTAATCTAAGCATTATTCAACATTCAACAGCTGCTAAGTGCTATCTTAAATTTAACAAAAACTTAGTCAAATTTTAAGTCTCTTTTTTTTTTTGTCGGCTTTATCTTTTCTGTAAACAGTTTGCGCTTTTAATCTTTACCAACACCAATAAACGATAGGTTTTGAAGGGTTCAATCAAACTATTTTGTAGGTGCTATTTTCACTGTTTCTTTTTGAACAACGAATCGTAAAAAGTTACAATTACTTTTTTGCTCTGCAATTTTTTTTT